ACAATGCATTAATAGTAAAATATGAAAATTAGAAATAATTCAAACAAAAATTTCAATATAGTACTACAGAATTATGAGAACTTTTATATGATGTCTTTTCATATTTTTATGTCCCCTATGATATAATAAAAGAAAATAATAAATTAAACTTAAATTAACAATTAGAATTATAGGCTATAATGTTTTTATTTTATTATGAACAGTTCAATGAACTCATATGTATATTTTTTTACATAATTAATGGTAAATATTTTATCAATATCTGTAATTAATTACTTCTACAAAGACTAATATAAAAATATAAAAAAAGACAATTAATATATGTTCTGTATATTATTTTGCATTTCAATAAATATTAAAATAAGTGATTTCATAAATAATATTCAAACAAAATATATGCATACTCGTAAGATTTTTATGCATTGAACCTTTTATAAATAATTGATATATATATAACAAATTCTGAAAAAAGTCTAATTACTCGTAATTAAATACATTGCCTGAAACTGTAAACAAAGTAATATATGAATAGTCTAATAAACAATAATTCTTTGTTATATAGTGTTTGAAATTTTAACAATGATGATAATAGAGAAGAATGTGCTTGTAGTATATTTCGTATTGTATAAATATTTATTATGTTGTGACGAGTATAAATATCACAAAAATTGTTTACTCTCTTAACAATACTATTCAACTTATAAATATAATCTGTTATCATTTAAATAAGGAAGGGTACATAATTGTAATACCATTTTTATATTTGGAAATGTTTTCACAAATTTCTTTTCAATGTATGCTTATACAAAGATAATTTTTGTCTTTGTTTAAATTCTTTTCATAAAAATTAATAGTAATTATAAAATAATGCACAAATGTTAAAACAGATAAAGAAAAATAAATATAATTTAAGTAAAAGTTTATCATAATAATCCCATTTAAGGAAATAAGCAATGTTATAAACACAGAGAGGAAGACAGATTTTATACATAGAGATATACCAGGAATAGTATTAATTTTATTCACAGGTATGAGTACAGTTTTTATTCTTTTATTATTTATAGCATTAATAATTGCATAAATATTATATAAGGTTAAAATTAAATTTAATTTATTAGATATATTTGTTATTAAATTAATGTTACATATAATTAAGAATTACGCATATATAATAAATTACTTTTACATAAGGATATCACATTTCATGTTATTTTTAGTATACAACATTTGGTGAATTATTGCTATTTAAACTAAATAATTTGAGGAGAATACTATAAAAAAATAAAATAGTATCAATTTATTGGATTCTTTTGAAAATAGATACAATAATTAAAAAAAATATGTGGAATTATATATAGATCAGTAGGGTACTCCTAATAATATAATAATAGTAAATATATTAATGCTGTTTTATAATATAATTAGTTTGACTGTCGTTTTGTATGATAATAGAATAACTTTACTTAAAAAATAATTTGCATATAAAAATAGTGGTATGATAAATATTCCCTAGGCTTTTTACAATATGCGTGAATAAATAAATTAAAATAATTGAAATATTACAATATAATATGTTATAATTATAGTGTTTACATTATATTAACAATATAATAAAATAAAACTATATATATGATACATTTTTAAAACATATATGAAATCAAATGAAGTCAAATTTAATACAAAATTTGTGTTCATAATGAACAATTTGTGTAATGAACTAATTTCATATTAGATATAACTAAAATAAAATGTGAATTATTACATTAAATAAATAAAAAAAGTAAACAAGTAAGGATATGGAAATAAATTAAATAACGTCTAGGCGAATAAAGTAATCCTATTAATAAATGTAATATGGCTATTTTCGTAATTTTACTTTGAATAAATCATAATAAATGATTGTTTCAACAACTTTAATGAAGTAGGATACTTTTATTTTTTACACATTATTATAAAAATAGAAATAACATAATATTATGAATGAAACTGGGAGACTATTATTCATCTATTAATTAGTATAATTCTGTATATTGTGTATTTAATATTTTACAATTCAGCGATAAAAGCATGTACATGATATTTGTCGAAAAATATGTGTATCAGATATTTGATAGGATAATGTTAATCATGCTAATTGATAAGACATTTAAATTATATTATTAAATTAATTATTGATAATAATGTTATAACATATATATATTTATATTATATAATCATTATATTATTTAAAATAATTTTTTAACATTGTGATATATATAATGTATTCTATGCTCATTTATCCTATATATATGTAAAAAGAAATAAGTTATTCAATGTCAAAATCTATATAATATGTGCTTTTTTATATATAGTTTGTGTA